TCGGACCATCACTGGTCGTCAATGTAAATTTTGCAACTTGCGAAATTATTTACGTCATCGCGAACTGTCTAAATCCATTGTGTTTAGGTGTATGTGACAGATCTTGACGTGCTCTTTCAGATTACGTCCAACACATCGCTATAGGATATATACTTCATGAGGAATTCACGAAAGAAAAAAGGAAAAAATCGGCCCATCACTGGTCGATCACGTTACTATATAAAAAGTTGCCTTCGGACGATTGGTATTCCATTAACGTGAATTTGATTTTAACACACTAATTGCATGTTGATGATTGGCTAAATCCTTCTGCCGATTCTTCTACTACACACAACTAACTTCCCACGTCACATTTACCATCCAGCAAAGGCACTACTTTTGGGGCTACATCCTGGCCCCCCTGCGACTTTCATACAGGCGGTGGCAGGCACAATCGCAAGGAGATTCGTCACCACACCGGCCACGAGCGAGGCTCCAGTTACCACCAGCGTCCAGAACCCAACCCACGGATAACGCCCTCCATCTCGTTTCAACGCTTGGGCTTGGCGCTTCTGCCCCGGGAGAAGGACGAGGGTCAATAGGCTGGTCAATTTCATGGCGTACGCAACCGCGTAGGTATATGCAACTCGGTTGCGCACTGGGGGGGTGTCACTGTCAATGTCGGCTTGATACACGTGGAAGAATCCGTCGATAAAGCTCGACGCGGCGCTGGCGAGGGGGGTGGCCAGATTCGACACCGTTGTGACCAGGCCATACGTGGCGCCTTCGTGGCCCATGTCAGCCACCTCGACGATCACAAACCTAGCAACGTGTCAGCATTTGATGAGTAGAGAAAGTGAAATCAAAACAGAAATCCTCTTGAGCGATCAACTGAAGCCTTCCAAATGTGGGGGGAAGTTAACAGTGTGGAGAAGCTGGGAATGAATCCATGTACCTCCTGTAATCTAAGTGGGCAAAAATTATAAAGCGCAACGTACCCCGACACGACAAAGCGGATGCCTTGGGGCAGGTTGTTGAGCACGGGGGCACCCAGGTAAAACCACTGGTTGCGCACAACATCGTAGATTGTTAACGCACTCACAAACGAATCTAGCGCTACGATTGCCACCGTCGTGACGCCGACAAGGACCCGCCAGTCGGCATCGAGGAAGCACCGGTTCGTGACGTACATGCCGAGCGCCATTAGGGCTGTGGACGCCATGCTAAAGATGCTGTCGTTGATGGGCTCAACGTGGGCCCAGTCCGACGCCACAACGCTGCTGGGGGCAGCGTCAAAGCCCAAGAAGAACCCGTTCAGGTACTGGAACCACATGGTCTGCCAAATGGCACGTTGGGTAACCACGGTGTACATTTCCCGGCACTTTTCACCGAGGGGGGACACCGACGGGGGCAGTTTATCTGGAAAACAAAACACGGCGGGAAGCACGGCCATCACCACACCACTGAGCCCCCACATGAGCGCGTTGAACGAAATCGACCACGTAAACGCTCCCCCATACTCGGGACCGTTGAGGACCAAGCCCACAACCCCCGTGGCCATACTGTTAAACATATACCTAGGCAGAACGTTCAATCCAACCTTAATCCAGTCGATACGGTAGTGTACGAACTTGATGATGTACGACCAACTCTGCGTGTGCCCCCGAACGTCCTCGCGCTCGGTTTGCGCGAGCTCGACCATAGCAGCGTCGCACGCGACGTCGGCCATGACGTAGCCCATGCTCGCCCCCATGAGAAGCAAGATGTACTTGGTGCCGTCAGCCGGGGCGTGGGGGTTGTCTACGTGGCGGAGCTGAACGTCGGGCACGGACAGGATCTGTCCCTTGGTGTAATACGGCGCTTCGGCGGGGGTCGTCGCAATGTGCAGCATGAACGCCAGGGAAATCACCCATCCGAGCAACACGTACGGACGTCGACGGTACCCCCAAACGGGCACGCTGTCGCTGACGAGCCCAAAGAAGACCTTGAACGACCACGCCATGTCGATAATGCTCGTGCACGCTGCGACCTGGTACCCGTCCATGTTGAGATAGTTGCGGAAAAACGGATACACTGTGCGGGGAAACGCGCCGTGGAGGACGCCGACCCCCGCGTACGTGATCATGAGGCCGATGTGCGATGGATGCCAGAGGTTCGGAACACCACCGACATACGACGTATCCTCCACCCGAGCGGAGGTCTTCTTGAGGAGTGCTTGTTCGTCTTCGTGGGGGACCGTCGCGTCGTCGTCCACGCTGGTCCGAGCCATGCCGGTTCGTTCGGGGGGCTGACAGTTTCACAAGCACAACAGTTCGTAACGCTAACGTAGCCGAGCAGAGCTATTGTTCGACAGTCATGGTGAGAGGGGACATCGTTTCGTGGAGGTAAACATGTTGGTGGTCACTGGACCAATAAGCTGCTTCTGGGTGGGGTGTTGTCTTAATCTAGCACCTTATACGATGCAGCAATTGTGATGCAGCTCTCTGAACACTATGCCAACGCATCTGACTGGATGACTACTGTATTTCATCCACATGTGCTTAACCATGCCCGCTTATGTGAATTGAAAACAGAGCAACCACAGCATTCTGCGAAGGAGGTGGCAGTGCACGATCGAGTGGGTTCGGAGCTCCAGAAATCGATCCCTACGGTCTCGATGTGTACTCGCGGTACATCTGGATAGTTTGCATTCTGTCCCTTCGACCACAGCAGATACACCAGATACTCTTCGTAACGTGGCACGGATATTCAAGTCATCGACAGCGAGTGACTGTGGTGTGGTTGGTGGCTATAAATAACAACACTTTTTACCTAGTTTTGACTGTCGTGTCAACTGAGGAAGGTCGTTGGGAGAGCATGAGCAATGTACCTGTAGTGGGGTCTCCTCCACCCCCGGATGCCCTCGAGTCACTGGGTACATGCATTGGGAACAACCCCTTCTTGACAATAACCACAATCACGACATGTAGTGACAAAATCGGGGGGCGCGGCCAAATCCAATGGCGGACTCGACGTCCTTCGAGACCTCAACATCAAATACCCCACAGGCGAGCAAGCCGTGCTCTTGGATGCCATCGGATGCGGCTTTTGCTAGTAAATACTACCTTCCCACGGTCGAGGGTATAACTCTACGATCTATACATCGTGTAGCTATGACACAGGACGGCTGGCCGTATGTGTGAGTAAGGTCAACGCCCTCCAGAAACGCTACTACTTCTACGAAAGTCCGTCTTGAGACATTTTGAAAACTTGCATCTGAACCATCTTGGTTTTATAGACAATCGAAGCAAAGCGCTGCTGTGCTCCATTGACGAGCATGTGGTGCGGGACCAGCTAGCCTTCATCGCAATCCGCCACGTCAGCTGATAAAATATTACCGTAGGTGGGCATGGCTGGACGTCCCCACGGTATCAAGTTGGTCCTCACAAAAGACAATGCCATTTTATCCGACGCCAAGGACGACATTGTCAAGGTACTAGTAGTAGCAATGACCCCCCCTTATTCATATCTGCCAAACCAAAACGCTTGTGCTCATATTGTGGGGGGGCGGGTCATAGACTTGGCGGTGGAATCCGAACGCACAAAACGCAGGCACCCCCCCGACCGACCCGATCGTGATCCAGCTCAACGAATGTCTCACATTCAAGTTTGTGGACCGCAAGCACATCCTGGTCAAGTTTGTCAACACTGGCGTCAGCTTGGAGTTTCAATGCGGTGAGCGACTCAAGCGCGACGACACGTATCTCCAGCACAGCACCAAGTGAGTAGTTTTTTGGCTAGTGAAAATGCTTGCATTTATATCCTCACCATACACGCTTATTGCCATGTGTGGTACTGTACAGTACATGATGAAATCGTATCCTGATCGTAGAGTGCAAAGCGGCCCTCAGCGCGGCAAACTTGTCGTGGACACGGCGCATCAGCCCAACTTAGTGCAACGCCAAAAACAAATTGAAGTCGCTGCGTTGGAGAAGCGAAGCAAGCAGAACCCCCGTAGCAAGGACCTCACCCACGCCTCGATCAAGCAAGTCGTCACAGCCCTTGAGGACAAATTCGACGACTACCACGTACGCCCCTTTAACATTTGTCAAGTTTATCCCCTCTTCACTTCCTTCAAGTCGAGAACAAAATCATTCATACGAAACATGCACCCCCCTATCTGCTATGCTAACCCCCCCCTCCCCCGTTCCTCGGACGTTTGGTTCTGTAGGGATGTCAAGTCACACCATACTGCACTGGCCCGTGGCTTCAAGACGCACACAACCAAACGCTAGCCGAACTGCCCGTGCTCCCTAAAACCGGCTTTGAAGTGGGGAAGGAGCCGACGTTGTACGGAAAGGACATGGCCCCCCACTCGACATCGCATTTGCTGTCGGCACTTCAAGACAAGGACGGCAAGTGGCTGTCTTCGCTCGACATTCGCACGCGGTTGGAGCTGTCGAACCCCGTGCTGCCGCGCACAGCCGTGCTGTGCAATGCCAGCGGTCGGTACAGCGTCGATATTCAGGTACGAACACCAGAACTCCGTATGCAAATGCCCTTGGTTAACACCGTGAACAATACGTATACGTTCTGTCTCTCAACGCCTTGTAATACCACAAGCCATACCTTGACATGGAGCCCCATATCATTCCTATCCTTTCTCGATGTCCTTTATTGCAATGTCCACATGTGGCAATGTCAAATCCCTTGTAAATATCTCTTCGTCATGTTGACAAGAGTAGATCCCGGGGGGATCAGCCCAACCGGAAGGCACCAAGCTGGAGGTTGTGGCGGGCTGTCGCTTGGATGGGTTCCTCAAGGATGATTGCGCATCGGACCAGCTTGTCGTCGTCGCGTGTCTTCGCGAAGACGACTTGACCAGTCGGCAAGCGGAAAAAGTGCTGCAGCTCGTCGCGACCATCTTGGCCGACCCACAAGGCGACCTCTCTTGCCACGCGTTGCCCCAAAACATCGTGTAGGAATATCTATTTCTTGACATGAATGTGTTGTCCAAGTTGGAGTGCTGCCCACACGATCCAACGAGTCGTCCATAGCTGAACACCAAACCATATATATATATATATATATATATATATGCAGCATTATTTTCGATTCAATGAAGATATATATATATGTTGACTTGTAGCGCGGGCATTGTAAATGCCAAGTACCGACTAGTCAAAGTGGACTTGGCCGAGTCCCGCGAAATCGCCAAGCGGTTTTGCCTCCATGCTACCCCCACGTTTCTCATGTATGAACTACTTCACCAAAGTCAACAAATACTGCATATCTCAACTATATGTTGTGTTTACAATTATATATATATACCCTCGAGAGTAGAGTGCCACCTTGAGATGATGGTGACCTGATTGTGTCGTTGGTAGGTTCTTCGAAGGCAAGCTGCTCGGCGCGACGAGCTTGGGCGGCCATGCCGTGCGCATTGCGCCGACCACTCGCAATGTCCACCTGACCAACAAGATGGACCATCCCCCTCGTACATTGCTGGTTCAAGGTAGCGCCAAACAGCAGGTAGGTGGGGTAAAATATATATTATATTTGGGTTGTTTTAGTCGTAATTGCTAGTGATTTTACATGGCACGTGTCGTAGGTTGTGAGCGAAAAGATCCTGCGCAAGGAATTGTTTGCGTGGGACCTTGCCCTGGACGCTGACGTACGAACCAGCAATGTGCACTTTCGAGATATATATCATTTTCGGTCTAAAATGATATATCGTCCTGGCACAAATGTGTGTTGATACCGGCATGAGGTAGCAAGCCATCCAGCGCGTGTCCAAGCTAAGCAAAGCCAGTGCTGTCAACAACGGTGTCTGTCCGTGCTACAACCTCCTCTTGATTTGTGACGATGTACGTGATCTAGTACCCTATTTAAGTACACGTGCCAGGAACATTCCAACGTTGAACTCGTTGAGTGAAAACTATTGATTACTTTGCTACTATACTAGCTAAGCACTTGTCTTGACTACTACATGCTTAGGTGGGTGAGGCGGGCCTGCGGACGCTGGACCGATTCATCCGCACAACGGACAGCAAGAAAGTATCCAACCCGAGCCAGCAATGTGTCGTTGGCATCATCATCACAAACCCAGACTTTGAAGCGTCCTTTGCGAGTACGTTGTGCCAGCTGTGCCGGACGGCGCAAGGTCGCCGCGTGAGTGTCGTCACCATGACGGATGATGGTATATCGCTTCTCTATGGGGTTTGAACTGACTGGTGGGGGTGCAGGAGTATGTCCGCATTGTGGCATCGTTCCGAAATCCATCGTGGAAGCGTCGCCGGCCGTGTCGACGCTGGTCTCTATAGCTCATGTCTTTGTGTATCGGCACATTCGAGCGCCCACGCTGCATCGACTCGCGGAGCGCTGGGCTGATCAAGTGACCCAAAAGAAGTCGGAGCAGGTGCTCTGCTACCTTTTGCTGCAATGGTGAACGGTTGTTCTGAAGTGAACGTGATGTAGATGCTCCGTGGCGCCGAAGTAGAGGTGCACAAGGGTCTCACCAAGGACACACTGTTCCGTGAGATGGAGCACTACCTGCAAGTCGGTCGACGAGGTCTCTTTGCGCCAAAGGATGGCGCGCTTGGCATGGCGCTAAGCGCCACCGACACTTTCATCATGAACACTCACTTGACAACGAAACCGCATTCAGCGTAGGAATAATAAAACGTATCACGTCTAAACTGATTACGTCATTGACGTCAATTGTAGTATTCCGGAAGTTACAGTTAGTATGAAATATTAAGGGGTAAAATAGAGAGTTGCCTCTATAATATCAAGGTACTCCAATTTATAATATTGATGGCAATACAATTCCACACTTGAGAACTTTATATCTTTATGTCATGATGTGAAATCGACCATTTCTTCTTCAACTGGCCAACGATCATGGCGGCAACGGCGGTAGCATGGGCACTGGTGGAAGGTTACCCTTGGTGGCCAGTGTATCTCTGTGATACCAAGCCAATGCAGCAGCACGTGCATCTCCCACACGGTAGATTAGATTTCATTGCCGGTGTTTTGCAAACCCTCACTCATCCTTGGCTCGCGTAGACGACTTGACTGTGCAGTCCATGCTTGCAACAGTGCAGCAGGCCCCGACAAAGTATCTATTGGTCTACTACTTTGGCCTAGGCATCTTGTTCGTCGTCCACTTCTCTTCTCTTGTTCATCGCTCTATCTCACGTTAGTGGCATCCTCGCTCCCAAAGCTGGCACCAACCTCCTACCTTGGCTCTGCCTCAGCCATCGGAAATTCCTGCGCGGGTTTCCTGTCGAGATCATGCAGCGAAGCCACACGTTTCCAGAACGTTTGGCCAAAGCTGTCCAGGAAGCCATGGTATGTTGGAGAGCTCCGTGACTTCCTTCTCGACGGGATAGTCACATCCTGGTAGGCATTTCTCAGCGGCACCATGACCCTACCGTTCGTTTCCTCAAATACACTTGCATCCCGACCGCCGTCCAACGCCCCAATGAACCCGCCAACCGCGTGCGACAAGGATGTAGTGGAGGTCGCATCTCGTGACACGAAAAGCACACCAAGCCAGAGGAACAGCGTCGCAGAAACCAATCGTAGCCGTTCAGCTGTACCCAATGAAATCAAACAAATCAACCACGTGGCTTGGTCTAAGCTAAAGCACGATGCTCAGTTATGGCCCGTGTACGTGTGCGATCCGTCGGTCATGCGCGAGTGGTTGCATCACTTGGGTAAGTTCATCATAACGATCGCTCGTCCGTGTATTATGCTATTGCATGCTGTACGTAGGACACGCCCATCGTTCATGTCTAGAAATTGCCAAAACCGACGACACGAATTGCCTCGTGTTTGCATTTGGCGTGTATACATTGTATGACCTCGCCCATATTGTATGTCACGAATATATGTTGTGACCCATCGATGTTGCTATGTAGCCATCTGGTACCCCCACAATCGATTCAAACTTGGGCGAGCCATAGCATTGCACAGCAGCCCCCATCTCCAGATGCACCGTTGGAATGGGCGATCGAAGAAGCCTCGGTATATATTGTGCTTTCAAGTGAAATTTCATTGTGTTGTGGTTTCTCGTTGGAATTGAAATCGATTTGATTGGCTACCTCAGATGAGCTCAAAATTATTAACCAATCAAAACCTTCTCAATGAAATTCAACAACCAATCAGATCGATTGTGGATCGGTTTGGTCGGCGCGATTCACCCCCTCCCCAAATTTGTATCAAATCGACAATATATATATATATATATATATACAGACTGTCCTGGTTGATGTATCTCGTAGTAGTAACTTTGCGTTCTTGTTTGTAGACATATCTCACGTCGGACGAGTCGACTCGAACGCTACCATACTTGGTGCCATCCGACATGAATCCATCGTCGCAGCTACCTCCACCGTCGCAAAAGATCTTGCCTCCAGGGTCTGTGGTGTGGACTGTACGAACAACCGAACGAGATCAAGTGTGGTGGCCAGGGGTCACATGTGACAGCGAAGCGACTTCCACCAATCACACTACGTGCCAGTCCCAGTATCGCATTGCCCTCTTTGGTACCGACCACACCGTCATCATGTACGGAGTGTGAGTATGTATTGTCGATTTGATAGTACAAATTCGGGGAGGGGGTGCAATCGATCTGATTAGTTGTTGAATTTCATTGAGAAGGTTTTGATTGGCTAATAATGTTGAGCTCATCTGAGGTAGCCAATCAAATCGATTTAAATTCCAACGACAACACAATGAAATTTCACTCGAAAGCACAATACTTGGATGTGATAGACTGATGTTGTGTGATTCTGGCAGACAAAAGCGCGAATTTGTAAAATTGTGGCCCGATCCAGTCATGCAAACATTGCTAGTACGAGGATATCCGTCGTATATAGTGGACACTGCGCTCGCCACAGCCATTGGCCAAGCAACACAGGTACACTTCACTCGATTCAAATGTCTACTCGTCGTGAGTACTAACGTTTAACGTAGGCATATGTGGCAGCCAAGAGCGTCAGGCCTCCACAGCCATCCAACTACAGCGCCACGTCCAGTGACACACGTGCAGCCCAACCATCCACGACGCCACCTTATGATCCAGAGCATGCCAGCCAACCAGCTACAGAGCCAGAACCCGCCGCCGCCACCCAAACAACAATGGCGCCGCCTTATCGAATACCCAACCCCCCTGACAACACGAAGTCTAGTAGTACTAGCAAGCCTACTAGCAGAGGGCCTTCAGCCAACGTCCTGGCGTGGAGAGTCGGAAAGGACGACACTTGCGAGCCCGTGTATGTCGTGGACGCCGCCGCCGACGTCTCGACGGTGTACTCGTTCGAGTCTCAATCGTTGTACGAATATTGTCATTGGTCGATTTCAGTTATTTGTATATGCGTTTAATTTGAGTCCATATTTGCCACTGCCATGTGCGTCTTACTTATAAAAATATATATGTATGTATGTATATACATATTACATTTCCCTATGACATATGTGTCTAATATGATATATATATATTACATTTGCCGACGACACGTACGTCTAAATATGATATGAATATATATATATATATGACCCCTAGTGCGTCGGTGATGACGAGTCAGTTGCGGTCGTGGCGGGGAGGGCGGCGGCGGCGGGGCGGTCGCGTTGGCCCCAAGGCCAAACTCGCCATTTCCGTCGCCCACGTAAGTTGTCGTCTGTGAGGGGTTGTATGTGACAGAGTATGACTAGGAGTTCATCCAGAGACTGGGGTGGGAACGGGCTGGGATTGGATGGACGACGACAGGGCATGACATGTCGTGGCCCGTGTGGCGACAATCTGAACCGCATGACGTCGCAGACCAATTGCTTGTGTATTGCTTTGGTGACCATGTCTTGTATGTAGTATTTCGATGCATGCGACGACGTTTATGATGGAGATATGGTGGTTGTAGCCGATGGCTTCCGCGGCAAAAAGTAACGCCAGGCCCCCATCACAAGCGACCGCCAAGTGAATCCACCGCCGCCGTGCCGCTTGGATGGACTAAAGCCATGGCGGAAATGGAGGTAAATATGTATGTATATGCGTAATGTATATATGCACAGGATAATGGGAATTAAAAGCTGGAGTTTCTTATGGTTGTTGGCCTTTGGATATAGGAATTTGTCCAGGCAGTTGTGGCTGTCGATGAGAAGGAGGCCCCACGGAGCAAGAAACGCTAAGTGCAGTGTTGATAGGATTAAACTTATACATCCGAAAACGTTGTGAACACTACCAATGGAAGGATCATGTGTCACCTTATGTGTATATTAACAGCATTGAATATGGTGCACCTCATCTACCAAATCGACAGTGGAGGTTTTACTATTTAACGTACAATTAATGTAGTTAAACCCAAAAACCAGATACGTTAAATACCGATTTCATGCGTTTTATCAATGCAGTGGGAGGTTAGAGGTCCCCAACTGCCTCCGGATATTACATACGGATAATAGTCACATACTCACATACAAAAATCAAGATACATCTCAGCGGCCACCCCTATGGCCAAATATCCAAGAGCCCATATAAAAATCCGCTAGGTTAAATATCTATTTCTGGACCAATTCATCACCAAATTGAATCTGAGACGTAGAATTTCTTCACCACATTGAGATCTGTCGATTCTTCGTCTCAATTTGCTGAAATTTTGAGTAATGAATATGAAATAGAAGTCAGAATTTTTATGAAAAGTTGGTAGTTTATAGATGACGTACACCATATTACTGTAGTAACGTTATTACTACAGTAGTATAACGTTATTGTATTACTGGTATTATATTAATAGTACTAGTATGCGTAAATTCTACCGTATTTGTCGCACCTTAATTTGAAGGAATTATTTAAACACTCGAATTAACTCTAAATAATTGATTTGAAATTAGTATTGATTTTATAATTCTATTCCGGTTAGATATTTCATGGTGCAAATCAATAACAAATAGAAATGACTCAAAGTTCCTATACCGTGCGTTTGGGCAAAACGAATGTATTGGTTAATTCTTCCATAACTTTTTCCGCCTGTATCACTTTTCAGATCTGAAGGTATATATACGAATATAGGAGAAATCAGTTCATCGGGTGAGGGGTTTTATAATCAATACAACGGGATATTAAAATAGATATCGTTGTTTCAAATTTCGCTCCTGCCATACATTCTGAGCAAATTAATATACTCAGAACAGCGATATTTAAATAAAAAATAGTTCTGCACTCAGGCCAAAATTTATAATAATATGAGCAGGAGTACTGAAAGTCAAGTACTTCAGAATGCAAGGCCTACCGAAGAAAGCAAACGTTGCACTCCTAAATTGTCCAATAGAATTGGATTGTAAAAATAACGGTACATGATTGGTCGATGTTTTTATTCACAGCAGAAATCACATTTTTTTAAATACGAATCAATTTTTATTGCTTCAGTCAACTTAGATTCCATAATATAAGATCGCGACTATATATTATTATGTCTTGCACAGCCAATGTTTCAATTGCTCTGCACCCCCATCGTTGGTGGTGCCCGCCATGATGAAGTCCACGACTCCCGACACGACAAACCAGGTCTTCCTCGTGCCAAGTGTCGTGGTCTTCACTGTGGCGGGTGTCGTGGTGATCTTCGCCGCATCGTCCGCCGTGGTGGTGTCGGCGGGTGTGGTGGTGTCGCGTGTGGTGGTCTCGAATCTTATATGTAGGGTGTTCTATTCAGTCGTACACGCTCATAATTGTGAAGTGCTATTACAGTCATGTTGTTACGAGCTATTCGAACTACCATTTCTACGAGTATGTGAACGAGTAAAACTACTAGCCCTCGCAGGGCCAGCATCAGCTTGGATATGCAGCTTACGCTGCGATGGCCCGCGCCGTCGCTCGAGACTCTCGAAACCCCGAAACCAGAAATCAACCAATCGCTGTGCTCCCTCCGCGCATACTCTCGACTCGAGAGTATGCGCGGAGGGTTGGTTGATTTCTCGGCACTCTTGCTGCTCATCGTTCGTCACCGTCCGTGACGCGGCCAGCGTGCTCGGACCCGGCCAAGTCGACAAACCCGACGGCAAGACGCGGTCGCTCACGTGCTCCATCTGGAGGGGGGGCGTGCGACCGGCTGCTCGCACGGTGGACGTTCAAGTTGCCCGTCGCCCGACTCACTGTCAACGACTTCACAGTCAATCACGTTTAATGAATCGACCCCGTAGTAACAATATAACTTGCTTGTTATATGTTGTAAAACACAAATCCACGTACAAACGGTAGTACTTGGTACGAATATCGTACACTCGTAACAGCGTATGTACAATTAGATAGAACCAATCATAACAAATATTGTGCTTTTCATGTAGTTTGCCCGTTGTTTAACTGCGTTAAACAACCAGACGTTTAAAATAATATAAGCCCGATTGAAGATAAAACAACGCTAAACATAAGTTCT